TACCACGCCTAAGCTAATTTTTGATTTATTGTAGAGATGAGGTCTCGCCAAGTTGCCTGGGCTGGTCAGGAACCTGCGGGCTCAGGCAGTCCACTCACCTTGGCCTCCAAAGGGCTAGGGTTGCAGACTGAGCCACTGAGCCTGGCCCATCTTTAGTTTTTGAGCAACCTGCAAACTGTCTTCCAGGGCGGCTACACCATTGTACATCCCACCGGCGACGCAGAGGGGTCGTTCCTCCATATCTTCGCCTCCACTTGTCATTTTCCATGTTTTGGCTGTCACTATCCCAGTGGACGCGAGGTGCGAGACTTCTCCTGCATCGGCCTGGGGTCCCCAAGGCGGCTCGGGTTCCCAGGCACAGATCTCGGAAGAGCTGGGCTGTCTTATCACATGCCCTTTAGATCTAGGCTTGGAGCCAGGAAGCCACACGTGCAGTGCATTAGCAGCAAGTCCTCAAGGGTCACTCATGTCCATGGGGAGGGGCCTACTGTCGATGGGAGGCTGAGGGAAAGGGCATGTTTTCAAATCCCGACATCTCCGGGACACTCCTCATCCACTCTCTTAGACTAGTGATGCTCAGAGTGCCAGATTTTGACAGATGAGGACCTTGTGCCAGAGTGGAAATCAGCGCTCTGGTCCTTCATCGGGAAAGTCTTGTCAGCTGACCTCAGCTGCCCGGTGGCCTCAGCCTGTGACAGTGGAAGAACCTGTGCCCCCGTGAGTTGTGCTGTGAAACCCTCCCAGACTGTCCAGGGCCTGAAGTGTGTATAGTCTGAAAGCCCTCCATAAAGAGGAGAATAGTAACAATTATGACCACAAGATTAGGAGCATGAGGAAAAAGAAAAGAATTCACAACAAATTACACATTTTAAAAAAGCTGACAAATACCCAAACATAAAAAATCCATTTTACTGTGACAGACCTTGGGAACTCTGTTCCTGTGTTGTGTGGCTGTGTCCTTCCCATGATAATGACTTTGAATATCGTGTAGAAATAGACCCTTCCATCTTTCCTCTAGCATGCTCAATCAAAACTTGTTTTGAATTACTGATACTTTTAAAAAGTTACTTTCATCTTCACCACCGTTATTGGCATAGTCATGTCAATTCTTAGAACTGTCATCAAACATAGGGAAATTATTATCAAGTTCCTTTCAAGTCTGAGCTGTGTGATTCCAGGGCATGTCGAGCATTGGTAACTTAATCTTGAATACTCTGAAAGGAGCGTGGTACATTCAAAACTATGTGCTGCATGGCCGAGCACACTCCTGACGAGAGCAAACTTCTGTCCTGAGCAGGTGTCAAGAAAATCCGGTCTTCCTCCTTGAAGCTCACACCTCTGCTGGCAGGGAGCCTTTGCCGCAGTCCAGCTTCCGGCAAGTCTTGTAGGTCAAGTCTTGCCTCTCCTCCATGACCCATTCTCCCTGTGCCAGGTTCTGGAAGACACGTTCTGTCGCAGCGTGACCTTGGCCTTGCACCTTCCAGCCACGACGGCAGGAAGTCACCCCTGCCCCCGGAGGACTGACAGTGACTGGCCATAATGATTGCAAACCCACTAGCCCCAACTCTGTGTCCCCAACTCTACTTGCTCCTGGCTAGATCCCAAAAGCGCCCATGTGGCCTCACCGCCGCCCAATAGGGGAGAAGTGTGATGGAAGGGAAGATGGAAGAGAAAGAGTCGAAGTGTCTCACTGCTACAGATTTCATAAAACCTTGAGAACACGCGGACACCCTGTCAAGGCCTAAGGGAGAGTGAGGGCCTAGGGTAAGGCTTGGTTTACCCCGCTCCTGCACCCATCAACACTTTGCTGCTCCCTTATGCTCCTGGTGACACTATGTCCAAAGGAAAATCCAGCAGAGGACTTCCACCTCTGCCCACCTGCCTGCCTGCTCTGGGTTCCAGGCCCCATCACATATGTGTCCCTCTCCAGGGATCATTCCACCCGCATAAAACATGCAGCAATTCTCCATACTTAATCATCTCTCTTGCCCCACATCTGCACCCCTGTCCATATGTCTGTATCGGCTGCAGCAAGACTCCTTGAAGAACTGGTTCATGATCTGACTTCTGGGCTCCCTCCAGGGCATCCCCAGTGCCTGGAGCCTGAGCAGCTCTCAGACCCCGCGTCTCCCCCACACGCCCCTTGCCCCACTTGCTTCTGGGCCTGCTGTCTCTTCCTTCTTTGCTGGCAGCTACTCCTGGTCTCCCTGGACCTCAAAACACCGGAGCATCCCCAGCCATGGTCTCCGTCCATCTCCCCTGTTTACACGCCCTCCCTTGGTGACCTCAGCCAGGCTCATGGTTTTAAATACTAGCGGTAAGCTGGCAACTTAAACATGTACACCTCAGCTGCATGCACATCCACAGCAGCATATGTCCGAGAGCTAAAACATGGGAGCAACCCCATGGGGATGGGGAAGCAGCATGTGGCACATCCACATGAGGTGTTTGCAGCTCAGCATTTAAGCCACTTAAGCCACGTCACACCACGGAGGCCCATAAAGGCAGCAGACACTGGGCTGACCTGATTAAGGCGGTGAATTTGATCGCTCTAAGTGTCTCATGTAAGGTACCTGGTTTTTCGAGTGTTTGGCATATAGTAGGTGCTCAATGAGCCAGGGAAACTTTTCTCAAAATGTGCCAATTAAGAAAAGGTCCCCCTGGGGGCAGTGGCTTGCACCTATGATCCTAGCACTTTGGAAGGCGTAGGCAGGAGAATTGCTTGAGGTCCGGAGATTGAGGTTACAGTGGGCTATGATGGGACCACTGCATTCCAGCCTGGGTGACAGAGCAAGACCCCACCTCTTTAAAAAAAAGCTTCCTTGTTAACAGTAAGCTGCTATCTCCATGGCCAAACTTCCCAGTGTTTTTATCTTTATTTATTTGTGAGTCGGGGTCTCACGCCAGTGCCCAGGCAGGAGTGCAGTGGGAAGGTCATCCTTCCGCCTCAGCCTCCCTAGTAGCTGGAGCTACAGGCGTGCCACCACCACACCTGGCTAATTTTTTTAGTTTTCTTGGTAGAGATTTGGTCTTGCCCAAGCTGGTCCTAAACTCCTGGGATCAAGCGATCCCGCCGCGGCCTCCCAGTGCTGGGATTACAGTCATGAGCCACCACGCCCCATCCCCAGGGTTTTTAAACACAGCTGTGCCTCCTGACACCCGGGCACCTGCACCTCTCAAAGCAGCTCCGACCAAAACCAACATCCCACACTGCAACCCAGAGACCTGTACCCTGGGACTCATTTCCGGGGATTGCTGGGACAGACTTCTGAAGACTTGGACTCCCAACTCCCAGGCAGGGCTGGTCCCTTGTCATTCATTGATTAAAGCATTTGGGTTTTTGTATCAGTTTCACACGTGTTCAACTGTAGCTGTAAATATAAGCTTCCTGCATTCCCATCTCCGACCCTAAAGGAAACCACCTTGAGCTTTAGGCTTTTTCTTCTTTGCCTCCATACTTTTAAATCTTGGACATCCTTTGTTGGCTTCCGACTACGGACGGGCAAGCTTAGCCCTTACTCTCAGTCAAGGCGCATGCGTTTCCTTCCCAGCAGTCTCCTGGAGAGTTCCTGCAGCCACTGTCACCTGAGCAATGTTCATGGTGTGTGTTGGCATTACTTGAATGCGAACAGCGTTCGCAGCCGAGTCATGGAGGGTCCGTGACTCCACTTGCTCAGGGTTTCTTCTCGTCTCCATGTGCTCACTTCTGAGTCACACCTTCCCCAAACCCTCCCAGCGGTCAGGTGCCGACCCTGAGACTTCTCAGGCGGTCTTGGACCTGGCACTGCCGGCGGCTCTGTTCCCCAGGGAGGCCCTGCAGAGCCCCCAGGCCCCGCGGCTCTGCGTCTTCCTCTGCCTCTTCCTTCTTGGCCTCCCATAGATAGGCAGCTGTGAGAACCGCAGAGGTGAGCTTTCGAGGCCCCGGCACATTTTCCTTGGCTATTCCTGTGGCTAGTGTGCCATCTGGGGTCTCCCTCAGTGTCCCCCCTCCGGGGCAAGAGGGGCTGCTCACACTTCCCTGAATACGCTGTCGGTCACCCCTCCCACCCGTGGCTTCCTGCCTTCACCGCCACTCGGAGGCTTCTTCTCTTCCCACCACCGCTTTTCTCGCTGTGGACGTCTGTTGGCATAAAAGCTTCTCCAGGTGCTCAGGAGGTGCTGCTGGGGAGGCTGGCTCCTGTGGGCCCCCCGGGCAGGCACAGCCCACCGCTGCCCCAGACACTGCCAGGGCCCAAGGCACCAGACCCTTCTGCCCACCGCCCATGTGTTTGTTCACCCATGTACTCCGGATTTCCTCTGAGGGTTTACTGTAGAGACAGGGTCCTGTGACCCTGGCTGGAGTGCAGTGCGGGCATCATAGCTCACTTCAGCCTTTAACTCCTGGGCTCAAGCCATTCTCCCGCCTTGGCCTCCCCAAAGTGTTAGGATTATGGGCGTGCGCCACCACACCCGGCCTCTGAGGATTTTTCATCATTCTCATGACGACTGTGTGGTCCTCATATCTGCCCTAAAGCAGTGGGAACAGGTGCCACTGCTGTGCCACACCCCTACCAAAAGGATTTTCAACATCTAAAAGCGTCCTCAGTATATCCCAGACCCCAAAGAGACCCCAGAGCACTTCCACCACTCTAGCCTTCTACTTGGGAGCCTCCATCATCCATCCTATGGCCCGCCCTCAGGTGGGGCTTGGGTCTAGGAGACACTGCTTCCCCAAGCCCAGGCACCCAACTCACCCACACAGGGGCCCTCGCTGGGACTGCTGCCCCTTATCTCCTCAAGATGTGCGACCTCAGCAGAGGCCTGGCCCAGCAGACCCACCTCCACCCAGGGCCAGCCCTGTGGCCTCCCAAGGCACAGCCTCCAGCCGAGACCAGGGAAGCAGCTGCTTGGCCTGGAAGCCCACCAGGCAAGCGACACCCACTGCTCCCCAGGGAGAGGCTTCACTAGCTTTCCAGCTATCCAGGGGGCACTCAGAACTGGTGAAACAGAGAAGGCCAAACTTTCATACGATTGGTTTAATTTTTTTTCAGCAGGAGAAAAAAGAATAAAGTTACAAGATTCTTTTAATATTTTCACAATGTTAAAACTAAAACTGAACTCTAGGCTATGTGTGTAAGTAAATCTAGAACACAAAAGGGTTAAATAAGATTTTCTCTTTTAAAGATACAGGAATTTAAGCTTTCCTTACATTTAACAAACTTCACAGAACAGATACTGCAGGAAATAAGCCCTTCCTCCCCCCACCCCAGCTCTAAGTCAGGAAGCGAACAGGCGGCTCCCCCGCAGGCCCCTGGAGCCCCTCCTTCCAGCGCTGCCGCCAACAGAGGGTGGCGGGAGGGGCCTGGGGAGGCCGGGAGGGGGCGCAGCGCAGCCTCTGCGGAGCCAGAGCTTGGCAGGGGACCAGGCGGCCGCCTCACCAAGGAGGGCCAAACGGTGGCCCGAGAGCTGTGGCTTGACAGCAGTGGTAAACGCTGGACAGACACGGCCCCCTGCCCTGGGCTGCCTCGAGCGAGACAACGGTCTGGGTCCTGAAGCAAGAATTAAGGCTGGGATTCTGCAGCGGAGGCCACTGTGGGGGCGGAGGGTGGGAGAGCGTGACTTCCTATTTCAGCATTTTGGATCAAAAACATTTGCAGTTGCAGGTGTTTGGCTGTTAACTTGCAAACAGAGGCGAACCGCTTGTTTTCTAGAAAGCAAAGTTGCTGGGTTCACTATCCAGTAGCCTGTGTGTGGGCAGATCCACACGCCTCGCAAGGGCCTCCTGCCCTCCCAACTGGAGCAGGAGGGTGCTGGGACCACTGGAACCACTCAGGTACCAAGAGAATCCTAATCCCGTCGACCCCGCCCCCTCACCTGCCTGGTAGTGATTCCTACCATGGGTCGCCAAGCCACCTCCACCCTCCCCAGCTGGCCCAAGTGGCTGCAGCTACTGAACTCTGCCCACACTAGGCGGTGCGGGTGGAAAAACATGCCCTCCCGCCCCCACAGATGTCACTCTCAGAGCTGGGCCCCGGCCACAAACCACTGTTCTAGACAGATCCAACCCACAGTCCCTGTGGAGCATGTGGCCTTCCTGACTACACTTGCTACACGGCAGGTGTGGACTGGCTGTCCTTGGACCACAGGCTGCATAGAAACGAGTGGAGGTCAAGGCATCACCTCTTGGCCCCCAGGAGGTGCGAGCAGGCTCCGGCCGGAGGGGCAGAGTCTGGGCAGCGGCTTCCCAGTTGCTCCAGCACCCTACTGACTCCTGATGACTACGCAGTGTCTTTTAAAAAAATTCCCAGTATAGAAATCTGGCTGCAGAGGTCAGTCTGCAGACCCCAGCCACAGCTGCTGTGCCGCCAGGAGCCTCCTTTCATCAACGGCCAGATCTCTGTGCCTGGCGAATGGCAAGCCAGAGCCATGGGCAGGCGTGGCGGCCACTCAGACCATAGATCCTGTGTAGAAAAGATGGGTCTTGTTCGTGGACTAGTCTTGAGTGGAGCTAATTTCCAAAGTGAGGTTATTGTTTCTCTTCTCGTGTGATGAGTTTTTTCATAGCAAGTCAGGTAAAAAAATTCCCTAAGAATCTGCCCCCACCCCCCTTTCCAGCCCTGTGGGAGAGCGAGGGACCACCCAGCCCAGCCACGTGGCCAGTCTCAGCAGCCTCCTGTGGCCAAGGCACGCGTGGCCGTCAGGTGTCCTGGCTACTGGGACTAAGGACAAGTGAAGAGGTGAAAGGCCGAACATTAAACAGAGTTTCTGGCAAAGCCATGTGCGTCGTGGGAACTTTAACACCAGCTCTACTCCTCTAATAACTCAGAGTCTCCGTCTGGAACACTTTCCACTTAAGGCTTTTTATAAGTTTGACTCCAGCAGTGACAGGTATGTGTTGTTTGAAATCCACTAGCCATGCTCAAAAAAAAATATTCTTCATGTTTTAATTTTATACAATGGCTAGCAGGCACCTTAGTAACCAGCCAGAAATCAATTTCAACCACCATCAACCCCTAAACTACAGTACCAGGATGGCTGGCTAAAGAAAGGAAACGGACTGGCTGTAGTCTGACGCGTGCCCAGTACAAGGTGTCTGGCTGACTTTGTCCTAAATAAGGCTAACATTAGTGAACTAAGAACAGCGTCACGGGGCCACGCCTGGCCTTCAGGAGCAGCCCTCCCCGATGCGCTGGCAGGAACGCCCCACTTTCCGGTCCAGTTTCACCATTTTCATGATGGCTTCCTCTCGGCCGCGGCCCATGTGGTCAAACGTGCAGTCGTGCTGCTCCGGAAGGCGATGCAACATGCAGAACACGTAACCTGCAGGCGGCAGAAGCAGAGGGAGACCATTAGGGTGGTCTCCAATGCCCCAAGCGTTGTGCACGTGTCCAGGGGGTGGGGGGGCATCTAATGGGTGACAACAGCCACCACAGGGCCCCTGATGCTGAGTTCATTATGACCCCCAGCACCGTCCCAGCAGGGCAGCACCTCATACTCTGCCCTCAGAACACCCGAGCTATGGCTGTTCAGAGCCGCCCCTGCAGGGTGGAACCCCAATGCGATGGCTGCATCTTCCTCTGGAAGTGAGTGTGCCCTGAGCCCTGCCCATCTTGCAGACAGGAGAGCCCAAGGCCATCAGTTCAGCACCTTTCCTGGCTTGGGCAAACCGCGATGCCCACCACAGGACACCCAGCATTTACAGGTGGCAGAGAGGAGAAGAACAATGGTGGCATCAATGACATTCCCTCTCTGGGACTTGGGAATGGTGGGAGTGGCCAAACCACAGCCCACAAGTGAGTGGGGGTCCTCAAAGGAAAATGAATTCTTTCAAGTGCTAAGGAGGCACTATATCTAAACAGAGGAAAGACAGAACATTGGGCTCTCATTGTCATCTCCAAGGAACCTCCACACTCAGGGCCTCCCACCTGCCTTGCCCTCCCAGAAGTGGACGAGAATGCAGGTCTCCTCTCTTTGAAGCACAGAAGTCCGGAAGGAGACACTGCTCTGGCCAATAAAAGAAAAAGATGGGAACAGCTGAAGAGAACAAGTGTACAGGGAGGCAACACAGATGAAGCCATCCCTCTGCTAGGAGGCACGGAGGGAAGACCAGGGAGCCAGGACGGAGGCTTGGAGAACAAGGGGGAGCACAGAGCTGCATCCAGGTGTAGCCCATTCCTTCCCTACTTCCTGGCAAATTTCTAAAAAGGCTGGCAAGGTTTGTGTAGAGCAGATACTGCCGCCCTGCTGGCCTTCTCCTCCAGAGGCCCGGAGAAGAGGATCCAGCCCGGAAATTGCGCCTGCAGCTCTTCACAACCTCCCTGTGCCTCCTGCGGAACCCAGATCCCTTCCTAAAGCTCCTGGTCCTGTGTGTCTACAGCACATGTCCCACTGCAGCTCGGCCAGCCACCACTCCCCTACTCATCCTCCAAGTGACAGCTTTTCCTCCCAGACCTCTTTCTCTTTAGCCCTGAACCAGGCCACGTAGCCCCGGCAAACTGTGACTCTGCCCTCCTCACATCCTCAACTCCTCTTTTCAGAGACGTGGAGGCTCTGACTTACAAGAGGACCAGGAGCTGAAGGGAGTCTGAGGGTCAGGATGGGCCAACCATATGGCTCAAGGTGAACTTAAGATTTCTTTTTTTTTTTTTTGTCGCCCAGACTGGAGTGCAGTGGCCGCTCCCAGCCACCGCAGCCTCGACCTGCTGGGCTCCAGCGATCCTTCTGCCTCAGCCTTCTGAGGAGCCAGAATTACAAGCATGCGCTACCACGCCTGGCTGATTTTTTGATTTATTGTAGAGAT